ATGCCACAACTGCCTTTTTTTCTTGTCCCATCTTCATCAAAAAACTGCATTCACTTTATATGACCATGTTACCTTTTAAGTGCAACAGTACTAAATAAAAACTGTTTATCTCATAGGATCTTTCCATGTCATTCCTTGGTGTTTTCAGAAATTCACAAAGGTCTTTGGGTCATTTGGTGCTTTATAATAATGGAAGGAACACAGGCCTTAGGCCAGAGAGATTTAGATTCAAATACCAGCTTTGACCTTACTGACCATGTGACCTCAGATAAGTGCTTAATTTCTCAGAGCCTCAGTTTACTCATCTGTAAAATGGAGGTGATAGTTACCTGGCAGATTATTGTGAAATTTAGCAATATCATAAGAAATAACTTAGCATTGGTCCTGGCATACAGAAGATACTGTTAAAAGAGCAGCAGATAGTAATGTGTAGTGATAGCCCTGGAAATGGGCTGGCAAAAAACATAGAGGGCCAAAAAGATGGCACCCGCAACAGAACTGAAGCGATAAATGCCACTGCCCACACTTGCATTGGTTGGTGTGTTGAATGCCTGTCTCAGCTTGTTTAATGCTTTCCACAGATCTGCACTCCTGACTTGGTGGTATTCCTGGCTTGCGCCAACCAGAGGCTCAAAGAAAGATTACTGAAGCGTGCAGAGCAACAGGGACGGCCTGATGACAACCTGAAAGCTACCCAGAGGAGACTAATGAACTTCAAGCAGAATGCTGCTCCGCTGGTTAAATACTTCCAGGAGAAGGGGCTCATCATGACAGTAAGTTAGCTCTAGTTTTACATGTTCAATAAGAACGATCTTTCAGATTCCTCATTAGCCGTTGTTCTCGTTTATAAATCTATTTTACAGTTGAAAAGTGGCTTTTGGGGAGGTTCAGATTCAATGAAAAAAATGGATAATTTTGACCTGATTTGCCTTTATTAAGCCATAATGATAAAAATACTTTCACTTTAGTTTAATTGATTTTACAAAAGATGATAACTTTTATCCTTGGCTAGGATTCTATAGCCCCCAAATGAAAAAGGATTTTGAAATAATTATGTGAATTATTTTAAGCAATACTTGCCCAACTTCTCAACTCTTATGTCTTTGGAAACCTAATAAAATTGATAGACTTAAAAGCCCATAGTGGACATAGTAGTAGGCTTTATCATAATGAAATATGATAAAGAAATGAGATTCTGATGGCATAAAAACATTTCCTAAGGATTGATTAGTCATGAAGAAGTGATACTGTCTCAAAATGGAAGGTGTTGATATTTCCGCTCCAATGATACAATGCAAATATTAATATTTTCATAAATGTTTAGTTCATCTTTGAGTATCATTGGTACTCAAAGTGCCAGTGAAGGATGAGGCTGAATCATTAGTTAATGTAATTACTGGAATATAGGATATTGAAGGTGAAGATTTAGCTAAATTTATGATCCCCATAACATCATGGATTCAAGTATTAAAACATAAAGGAGACAAGGCTCATAGATCATCTGAGAAGACATTTTACAAAAGAAGACACTAAAATCTAGGCAATTCCATGGCAGCTGGCTGGGGACGGCCTCAGCAGAACCCTGCCCTCAGCCCGAGGGTCCTTCCTTGTCTGATGGGGTTACAACCCCCATAGAGAATCTGATTAAAGTGATCAGGCCCATCCCAATCAAATACATGTACAATGTTTTTCACAAGTTTTAGGCAAATCCACAGAACTCCTGTGACCTGACAATTACTGGGTTAAAAATCTCTTCATTAGACTAAAGTGCCCTTAAATCTGAAAGAGACAGTCACAACATTTGAATAATTACCTCTTTACAGTCTTCTTAGCACTATAAAGAAATATTTATTAGGATTTGCTCTTTAAGTCAAAATTGTCACGTCAGAGAATTGTAAATCTGATCTGAAAATAGTTTGCAATGCCAAAGTTCATGTTATGGTCTCAAAGAGACATTGGGTAATAGGAAAGATTTCAGACAAATCAGGGTGGATGTTTCTGTAGCTATTTTTTGTTGGGGTTACTGCTTGTTTCTCTTGCAAATTACCAATGCTGACTTCTGCATGAAATAAAGAAATTGGCCCTACAAACCAAACCCCAAAGGCAAGGTGCAGATTCAGGGTTTTAACTGATGTTTGCAAGGTTTGAAGGTATTACGGGAGCGCCTCTGATTACTCCCCGCTTGTCGTGTTTGTCATCACAAGCAGAGCAGATTTCCCCAATGAATGCAGAGTGGGGATTGTTAATTTACTAATATTTTGCATGGAGGTGAAATGCCATTGCCTCTAATTAAGGGAGTCGATAACAGTGTGGATGACGGTCTGTAACCTCAGTGCTAAAACCAAATGAGCTTTAAGATAAACGCTTCTGTTTACTGGGAGAATACTTGCCTTGGGAAGTCTACCTTTTGGAACATGGTAAGTACCAACACAGGAGAATATGATTTGAATATTTAGTCTGACAAAAGAGCAAGGGCTGCCTCCTGAACCACATGTCCTCTTTCAGAATCTGGATCATAATTCACTTTTGGAATTCAATATGTTTGGTAGCATTTCTACATTTAAAGAGTTAAAAAATAAAAATGGTTATCTTAATCACAAGCATATTAAGATGTTAATAAAAATCTTGGGTTAATAGATCAAACACAGATATTTCCTTTTCTCTGTAGTTTCTTTTGCTTCTCCTTGCCCTTTCTAATTTATTCATTTATTCATTCAGTAAATATTTATTGAGAACCGGTGGGTGTCAGACATTCTGCTAGGTGCTAGGGGTGCCAAGTTAAATAAGCAAAAGGTAAGGATCTTTATTTTATTCACTGGCATATTCCAAGCACCTAGAAAGGCCCCTGCCTGGTATATAGTATGCTCACACTAAACAAGCGGAGCTCACAGCCTACAGGGACAGTGATGTTAAACGTGAGTCATTGAGTGTGGTGACTGTGGCAAAGGAACAGAGAGAGCCTCACGTGTCATGCGCTATGTCAGGGATTGGGTGAATAGAACAGACCCTCTCCCTGCCTGCAGGTACCCTTAATTATTTATCTTGGCTGGGGGATCTTAAGGACCACAGAGAGCACCTCCCCCTTCAGTCCAGTTGAGAAAGTTCATCTTGGTGCTTCTCTTCCCTGGGGCTTTGAAGTCTGAAATATCCCACTTGGAATTTCAGCTCCACCACCACTTAATAAATTCCTGATGCTTTAGGACTTGGTCTTCATCTATAAATTGGAGATGATGTTACCTGCCATGTAATGTTGCACAGGTGAAATGAGAGAACATGTGTAATATGACAGACGACGGCAATGCAGAGGCCCCGTCTGGGTGCGCCATGCAGCCACATTGGCCTGTTCGAGGTCCAGCTGCACCACCTGCCACCTGTGTGACCTTCTGCAGGTTACTTATCTTTGCTGTGACTCAGATGGCTGACCTGTATAATGAATGTACTCATCAATCCTACCTCAGTATAATTTGTGAGGAGTAAATGGATATCAAATACTCAGATCAGTGCCTGGAACATTGCAAGGGCAATTCAAATGATAGCTATTATTTTATTACTTTTTTTATTTCTTCACTCTCTCCTCCCACTCTAATGCCTATCATTTGGAACCTGTAATTACCACTAACAAGTCTGTGCTCTTCGAGGATACTGTGTTGCCTTTTCTTCAAGAGATAGATTATTGAAGGTATCCAAAATGAAGAATTTAGGTTTTAAAAACTTGCTGCCGAATTCTTGTTTTTCCTTTAAAACTGCCTGTTAATCAGTTATAAAATTGTGTCAGTGTTTCCTTTAACTTCTATATTGTCCCTGCAATCAAGCGATACAGTGGCTGTGTCTGAATAATGCAGTTGAATTGTAACAGATGGCAACCCTTTTTTTTTTTCTTTTTTACTTCACCATTGACTGTATCTGTTGGCAGATTTGACTAAAGAACAAACCCTGTGGGACTGAAAAGAAAACCTAATCAAAGTAGCCAGGGAAAACAGGCTGTTGCCCGAATATTGTATCTTATTCACATGGTTCCCATCATGTGGGTCTCTTTATTTTTATCCTTTTATTATACCTTTCTGTGCACAGCCATCTGTGCAGGTATGAATTAAACAATGTGAAATCACAAGGCTAGTGTATTAAGGACTTCGTGGAATCTTTTCAGACAAGCTGATGCATTGTTTTTTTAACTCGCCATAAGGCTGGATGTCATTGCTTATCATGTTTTTTACAGCATTATGCCTCTAACTTAATATTAGGATACAGTGGATCCCAAAATTTGTCAGAAGTTTTTCGTCGAAGTTTGAATATTCCCGGGACCAGAAAAGTAGTCTTACTGAATAAGTTGTGTCTTATGACATTTCAGAGCACTTGGACTTGATGAAACGGTATAACTCTTGAACAGTAATTCCCTTTTATAGACTTTTGAAGCCTCAGTAATACGTATATTTAGTGATATTTTCTGTCTTTATTTTTAAAGCTGTAAAAAACCTTATCTTTGTTTTAGTCTTCTTCACTAAGTTGGAACCCCTTCTTTAAGAAATAGTGATAGTTAAGATAGGTCAAGTCTTTGTAAGTTTGATGAACTCTTTCAAAAATACATGTGATTTTTTTTTTTTTTTTAAGAATAGGGTTTTTAGCCTGGCCTGTGTGGCTCAGTGGTTAAGCATCCACCTGGGAACCAAGCCGTAAAGGCTCAATTCCAGGTCAGGGCACATGCCCAGGTTGCGGGCTCTGTCCCCAGTAGGGGGCGTGCAGGACCCAGCTGATTGATGATGTTTCTCTCTCATCGATGTTTCTATCTATCCCTCTCCCTTCCTCTCTCTAAAAATCAATAAAAACATATTGTTTTAAAAAAGAATAGGGTTTTTAAAAATGCCTGAAAAATAATAGGGTGAGGTGTAATGTTTATGTTACCATTTTCCAAAATGCATTGTGCTCTTCAGTATTCTGTTCAGTCAGAAAAACGTGCAACTTGCCAGGGAAATGGTTGCACAGTTGTGTGCAGTGAACAAATACCACTTCATATGGGTGATAATCAGTGAAAGTCCACATTTAGCTTTAGGCCATGAAGCAAGCAAATGGTCCTTTTTCTTCTGCACTTTTCATAGGAGGAGGCAAGAGAAGCATACCTTGAAATGGGAAGTGCGCTGTAGTCAGAGAATGATGGGTATTAATTAATACCCAGATTAACTGGCTGGATCTCTGCAGCCAGGAAAGCTCAGGCTGAAAAATGTTAAAATCAGGATTATTTCTGTTCACCAACACCAGTTTTTCAGGGAAAGTGGATGAGGGACCAATTATAAACCATCTTGGCATATAGCAAGGCCACATAGACTGGTGATTCCCTAATGCTTAATAGAACAGAAGAAAATCCAAAACGTTTTAATGGGGCTAAGATGAAGTTTGTGGTTTTTTCTTAAAGACTTTAGTTTTTAGAGCAGTTTTAGGTTCACAGCAAAATTGAGAGGAAGGTACAGAAATTGCCATGCACTCCCTGCCCCCACATATGCATAGCCTCCCCCCAATAAAAACATCCCCAACCACAGTGGTGCATTTGTTACAATTGATAAACCTACAGTAACACATCATAATCACCCCAAATCTGTAGTTTACCTTAGAGTTCAGGATCACTCTTGGTGTTGCACTTTCTATGGGTTTGGAGGAATTTATAGTAATGTGTATCCATCATTATAATATCATATAGAATATTTTCACTGCCCTAAAAGTCCTCTGTGCTCCACCTATTCATGTCTCCCTGTCTCCCCCACAACTCCCACCCTGACCCCGG